TTTTTTTTTTTTTTGTTGAGGTGGCCATTAAGTTTTTTTTTATCGTTTTTTTTAAATAAGTTTATGAATATATATATATATATATATATTAATGTGATAAATATTTATGGCAAAATACAATATTATTAACACTTGGATATATAAGATTTATTTATAAATTAATTTTGGTATTTTTATGTATAGTCATGAGATAAAATTAACATAAATGTAATTTAATAGTTTTAAAATTAATTACCGATTCAACAATTGACTCAATGACCTGAAGGCCGACTCAGGTTAATCGTCCGTCCATGTTCGAAACAATGTTTTTAGTATGATAATATAATTATTCATTAATCTTTAATGCAAATAAAATTAGAAAGAAGAGAACAATAATAATATGGAAAAGAAGAAGAATAATTTACTTCAAATTAAATGTGTCTTATAGTCTATATTATATATCTAGAATGTCAAATATTGCACACACAAAATGGCTTAATAATTTATTGCTTTTCACTGCGCGCATCGCACGTGTATAGTTTAGCAAAAAAGTGGCTTTCCAACTAAATGTTGTTTTTCATTATGTCAGTTTATTTACATTTAAGTTTTTAATTTTTAACATATAATAGCAAGTTATGCATTACATGAGTGCAAATATGCATCATGCTAGAATTCAGAAAATTTTCATTATTCTTGGAAAGGGGAGAGGCTGAAGAAAAATAGAATGAAAACATATAAAACCAACAAAACTGGTTTGAAACAGTAAGATATATAAACTGAGGAAATGTTACGGTCCCGTTACGGAACCATTCCGTCGGAGATAGTTGATCTAACGGTTACAAATCCCGACGGAATGGTTTCGTAACGGGACTGTAGCATCTCCTTATAAACTGACGAGCAGCTGGTAAAGGGTATAGAGAGTTGATATATATATGATCATCCTGAAATACAGAATGCTAAGTTGAGAAAGCAAAATAATTACCTACAACTACAAGATTCTTGGAATTTCACTTCATGTTTGAATATATATAGTCTACTCCCAGTCTTGTCTTAGAAGGAGAACTAATATTGGAGTAGAGACTGCCAACAAGAAGGAATAGGATTTGTACCACTTTCCACCTCCAAAGACCTGAAATATTCAAAGCCAAAAGGTTGTTTGAGTATTTACTTTCTTTTTTTGTTCAAAAGAAAAAAAAAATCGAAAAAAAGGACGTCCCGGGTTCTCCTACTGTATTTACTCGGCTATATTTGGTTTAAACTATATGGCATTTATAGATGAGGCAGAGCTGAAGAAGATTACAATATTGTACACATTTAAATAGGGTGAAATCCAATATCAATATCCTGAAAAAAAAAAAAAAAAAAATTTAAAACAATCCTATTTTCCATGGTGTATAATTCAGTCCAACAGCAAGCTTGCTATAAAGGTGACCTTTTTTTCTTCAAAAAAGAAAAAGATAAGAAACATAGTTATCACACCACCAAATTGAACATAAAGGCAATTCCTTACAGACAAAGGCAATTGTTTACAGCATATTCTGATGCAACCAAACTTACTTTTAATTCTTTATGGTGGTTACAGTTGTAGATGCAATGTCCACACTTCACTTAATTGCCACAAGCAAAACGACTCGGGGGTTTCTTTGGGAATGAGATTTCCTGCTCCATTTCGTGTTCCACTTCGTTGGACGAATGACACGTGTAAATAATGATGTCATATTTGTCAACGTGTCAATCATCCGACACGAAATGGAACATGAAAGTGGAGTAGAAAATTTAAACCCGTTTATTTGTTCACAGTATTAAAAATGCAATATGCATCCAAACATACCAACATCAACCCCATTACTTTTCTTCAGCTCATATTCAATTTTTCGCTTCTAGCTCAATTTAAAAACTGCCGCTTTAATCCTTATATTAGAAATTGCATATTCCTGTTGTTTATTATTGTAGGCATAGTCATTATAGATACTCAATTTTTATAGGAGACGAAAAGCAAATTCCTTGGAAATTAACCTGTTCCATCAAGCTAAACTCCCAACTCATGATGTTAAATTTAAGTTCTGTACTTATTTTGAACATGTAAGTTCTTAAATTGCTCGTCCAGTCCACCAACAGAACAGTTGAACGAATAGGCACACATATTAAGTGATACCAAATGACACTCGCTGTGAATGTTACACAAACAAAAAAAAAAAAA